CCAGACCCCACTCCTCCTTCTTAGAAAAGTGTGGCCCTTGACTACTTACAAAATCTTGGAGTGACCCCCATCAAAAATTATTGCCCACCCCTACTCTAGTCTTACTCATGGTTTCAGCTTGGGAGCAAGCATTTCTTTTACAAGTTGCTTTTTCTTTTGTTTTCTTTTGAAATTCTATGGTTGGTTGGTTGTTTTTGGTTTAATGTAGAGAGGGGAGAGCATCGCGCAGCGGCCCCTAGTGGCCGGGCCGCCTCACTGCAAGGAAAGAATTGCCCAAAAGCAAGCTATTCCACTGCATTGGAAAGATAGAAAATATGGCAAAAGACCGCCTTGGTGTTTTTGGTTTAATGTAGAGAGGGGAGAGCATCGCGCAGCGGCCCCTAGTGGCCGGGCCGCCTCACTGCAAGGAAAGAATTGCCCAAAAGCAAGCTATTCCACTGCATTGGAAAGATAGAAAATATGGCAAAAGACCGCCTTGGCTTAATGATGAGATCTTGCATGATCTAAAAATAAAAAATGGAAAGTAGGACAAATTACAAAGGATGAATATAGGCAAACAACACAGAAATGCAGGGGCAAGATTAGAAAGGCAAAGGCAAAAAATGAGCTCAAACTAGCTATGGGAATAAAGGGAAACAAGAAGACTTTTTATAAATACATTAGAAGCAAGAGGAAGATCAAGGACAGGGTAGGCCCACTGGTCAGTGAGGAGGAAGAAACAGTAACAGGAAAATTGGAAACGGCAGAGATGCTTAATGACTTCTTTGTTTCGGTCTTCACCAAGAAGTCTGAAGGAATGCTAGTGGGAAGTGGGAAGGTTTAGAAGATAAAATAAAAAAAAGAGCAAGTTAAAAATCACCTAGAAAAGTTAAATGTCTGCAAGTCACCAGGGCCTGATGAAATGCATTCTAGAATACTCAAGGAACTGATAGAGGAGGTATCTGAGCCTCTAGCTATCATCTTTGGAAAATCATGGGAGACAGGAGAGATTCCAGAAGACTGGAATAGAGCAAATATAGTGCCCATTTATAAAAAGGGAAATAAGAACAACCCAGGAAACTACAGACCAGTTAGTTTAACTTCTGTGCCAGGGAAGATAATGGAGCAAGTAATTAAGGAAATCATCTGTAAATACTTGGAAGGCGTCAAGGTGATAGGGAACACCCAGCATGGATTTGTAAAGAATAAATCATGTCAAACCAATCTGACAGCTTTCTTTGATAGGATAATGAGTCTTGTGGATAAGGGAGAAGTTGTAGATGTGGTATACTTAGACTTTAGTAAAGCGTTTGATACGGTCTCGCATGATACTCTTATCAATAAACTAGGCAAACACAACTTAGATGGGGCTACTATAAGGTGGGTGCATAACTGGCTGGATAACCATACTCAGAGAGTAGTTATTAATGGTTCACAATCCTGCTGGAAAGGTATAACTAGCAGGGGTTTGTTTTGGGACCGACTCTGTTCCATATCTTCATTAACGATTTAGATATTGGCATAGAAATTACGCTTATTAAGTTTGCAGATGATACCAAGCTGGGAGGGATTGTGACTGCTCTGCAGGATAGGGTCATAATTCAAAATGATCTGGACAAATTGGAGAAATGGTCTGAGGTAAACAGCCCTGTCTGTTTTACTGAAATGTCTACATGTGATCTCATCCTTACTTAGAAAAATGTTGAGATAGTTGAACAGAGTAGAATGCATCCTTGATAAGGAGGGAAGAAAGAACTAGGGAGGCCTTGGGGCCAGGCCCTCCTAGAATGATTAAAGGTCTAGAGAACATGACCTATGAAGGAAGACTGAAAGAATTGGGTTTGTTTAGTTTTAAAAAAGAGAAGACCAAAGACCAAGGGAACATGATAGCAGTTTTCAGGTATTTAAAAGGGTGTCATAAGGAGGAGGGAGAAAACTTGTTCATCTTGGCCTCTGAGGATAGAACAAGAAGCAATGGGCTTAAACTGCAGCAAGGGAGGTTTAGGTTGGACATCAGGAAAAAGTCCCTAGCTGTCAGGGTAGTCAAACACTGGAATAAATTGCCCAGGGAGGTTGTGGAATCTCCATCTCTGGAGATATTTAAGAGTTGGTTAGATAAATGTCTATCAGAGGTGGTCTAGACAGTATTTGGTTCTGCCATGAGGGCAGGGGACTGGACTCGATTACCTCTCGAGGTCCCTTCCAGTCCTAGTATTCTATAATTCTATGTATGTAAAATAGTTTGTGATGCTTTATGCACTTTGTTACAGTAACTCAAAAGCAGCTTTAATCCTGAATACTGAAATTTGGCAAGTGATCAGGCGAGATGGCCCTCTAATTGCTTTTGAGTGTCTCTTCAAAACTAAAAATGCCATTTAAAATGGCTTAGATATTTCAATTTGAGAAGTGGCTACTGAACAGGCATGATAACGACACCGTTTTTTTAATGTATGCATGTAGTGCACATGTACCACATAATGTGAGCCCTGAAATCTCTAACTCCAGCTTTTGTGGACCAAAATCCACTCTAATATGATTGCACTAAAATCATCACAGTCATCATAAGAGAGACAATGGCTTTTGAAGACTCTTTTCATAGCTAAATTACACTTATTTTAAAAAATTGACTATGAGTCTATTCTCAGTGATGTCATTGACAAAATTCTCTGGATTTCAACTGTAGTTCTCTCTATGTCTACACAGCAGTTGCTAATAAAAGAGGAAGCATTTGTTTGGTTTGGGCAATAACAACAAGAAAGAAAAAAAAAAAGCTAATTCACCATTATAGTGCCCAAGGCATGAGTTTCCTCTCATCAGAAGCTACTGCATCTCAGAAAAAATGGTTCTTCGAAATACAAAGGCACATTTCACACTGACACAGAAAACAAAAGGCATAAAACCCCAGTTTCATAGCTGCATAAAACCCATTTTTGTATTTTAGCTGGTTAATTTATAACCCATTCATAACCATCGTAGAAACGGTTCAAACAGTTTTTAGTAGCAAGTGTAGTACAATTGAGACAGAGTTTCATTAGCAAAAACAAACAAAAAAAAAGATGCATCAGGCATGCAGAGTTGTAGGAATGAGATTGTTATTAAACATGTGGGCTGTGTCTACACTGGCATGAATTTCCGGAAATGCTTAAAACAGAATAGTTTTCGTTATAAGTATTTCCGGAAAAGGAGCATCTACATTGGCAGGCTGCTTTTCCGGAAAAGCCTTTTTTCCGGAATAGCGTCCATGGCCAATGTAGACGTGCTTTTTTAGAAAAGAGCACCGAGCGTCATTTTCGCAATCGGGGCTTTTTTCCAGAAAAGACTACTGGGCTGTCTACACTGGCCCTTTTCCAGAACAGTGTTCCGGAATAAGGACTTATGCCCAAGCAGGAGCAGAATAGTTTTTCCGGAATAGCGGCTGATTTTGTACAGTAGAGCATCGTTGCTTTTCCGGAAATTCAAGGGCCAGTGTAGACAGCTCGCAGCTTATTCCGGAAAAGCGGCTGATTTTCCAGAATAAGTGGCCCAGTGTAGACACAGCCGTGGAGTCTCTGGAGTTTGCATGTTAGCAGGCTGACTCCCCCTGGCATTCCCGACTTGATGGCATCACACTAAACTAGGTCCCCCTGAAACATGACCCTATTTTTCCAGTTTTGCTCATCATGCTACAATCAGAATAATCCAACTGGGATCCCAGAGGTATCTGCCCACTGCAATTTTTTGTCATGACGTTCTGCTTTAGAATTCCTTCTTCATCCCATGGATTAAGTAACAGTAATCTGGCCAAAAGGATTATCAGACTACAGTACTTTTATTAATCTGTCTTTCTTGGTTTCCTGGAGAACACATATTTAGTTGTCAATTCCTATGCACCCAAAGACACCCTCTGTTAGACACAGATCATTCCAATAATACGAATGCTTGGGAAAATGAGGCCTCTCCACTTCCATATGGCAAAACAAAGTTGTGCTATTGAACCACCAACTTGAATGGTGTTCCTAGCCTCTGTTTGTCAGAGGCTGGAAATGGATGACAGAGGAGGGATCACTTGATGATTACCTGTTCTGTTCACTCCATCTGGGGCATCAGGCAGTGGTCACTGTTGGAAGATAGGATGCTGGGCTGGATGGACCTTTGGTCTGACCCGGTAGGGCCGTTCTTATGACCCAAAGATGGAGGTAGGCCCCAAAAATCATGAGATTGGTTTATACAGCATAAGATTTTTTATTTTTTTTTAAAGAAAGAACACTTTTAAAAAAATTGCCATCTGGTTCTTGAACCTTTTCAAGTACCCTAAGGCCATATTTTCAGGCTTTTTTCTCTGCAACCCTGAGGGCCAGAAATTGGTGGATTTTTTTAATGAAAGCTGAGATTCTCTCATATTCCCATGACTCCAGTGCCTAGGGCTTTATGAAAAGCAACAATTGTCACAAGTATCTCAATAAAATAACGAGAGGCAACAACACGGCAAGTAATAAGTATCAACTTGCTTCATGAAGGTTACCTTTTAATCCCCATTCTGAAATGATCACCATTATTTTTTTCCAAATCGTAGTAACAGTTCAGAGGGAAGAAGTTTAAACAAGTGGGTGTCTCCTTGCCCTTCTCTTTCCATTGTTAATATATACTTTAATGCTAGCGTAGTCAAAGATGTACCTCTTCGATTTATCCACCTTGCCTGAACTGATCCACCACAGTTCTTAGTGGTTTCTAAAGTGTGGCACTAAGTTACTGTGTGCTGTTATGGATCTTTCCTTGGCAGGTAATCCTCAACTTCACTTATCCAGATGGAGTTAATTTGGCTGAACTATGTTGACCTGGGTTAAATGTAAATGGTACAAATGCAGCTTTCCTTGGCAACAAAGTAGTTCTATGTTAAGATTTCCAAAATCTCTCTCCCAAGCATGCCTTATAAGGCATGTGTTCTTTCTAGTGGGATTCCTATGGTCATTAATCTACTACTTCTTTCAACAATAAAAAGAAATATGCAATGAGATTACCAGAATGGATGGCCTGGTGCAGACTAGAGAACACTGCTTTTTAATAGGGGATTTACATTTGACATCAGTTAAACGTCTCATGCCATCATGTTTCAGCTCTGTTATGTGGATTCTGGACCTTGCTTCCTACTTGGATGCCAATGTACTTTACTGATTTAAGTCATCTCTCAACTCATTCATCAGAACTGAAATTTCATACATGATCTTAGGGTTTCTTTGCTTCATCCAGGCTCTGGGGGTCCTGCAGCGGAAAATTCCATGCAGATGTAGGTGCAGCTATGTAAGCCAGCCATGGCTCACAATATTCTGTTGATAAGACTGCTGTCAGCTGATGCAGTAGAAGCAACATACAAGGTCAACAGGTAAGAGGTGTGGACATGTGGAAGATACATTGAGTTGGCATCCCGTGTATGGCTTTCTTTAGAGCCCAGCAAAAATTAAAACCTCTGGTACGACTCATTTGCGCCTGCTGGTAACAATACAGCCTCCTGCTCTCCTTGAATCAGCAGAGATACATTGATCTCTCTCTCCTCTGGGTGTATTTTAAAGCAGTCTTCCCCATTCTCAGCTCTCTCTTCCCCAGAGCAGATGGACTGGACTATGTCCTCACTTTGCTGCTGTGAAATAGAATGAACTCCAATGAAGTCAGATGAGATGCACTGGTGCAAAAAACCTGTTGTGAGATGAGGACAGGCCTAATTAATTTGGAGACAATGGCCTCTTTCTCAATGAATGACTAAATCTTTTTATCCATAACTCATGTCTAATTAAAGGACTAATAAGAAATAATAAAGTAAATCCAATTGCAAAGTGAGTAACCCTAGTCCAGCAGCCTTAATTCAGGACCTGCTTCTGTGAAGTACTAAGCTTCCTCTAAGCTCTGCATTAAAGTTGATGGGAACTGCATGCGCTTTACCCGTCACATGATCCAGGTCTTAATCTTTAGGCAAAACTCCCATTTTCCACCCCCAGATAAGGATTTGAGGATTGGATCCAATGTTTCTCTGACTCTACAAGATAATCACAGATAAAGTATGTTACATATGGTCCCTGATGTACTTACGTCTGAAGAAATTACTCTGGAATTAAAAAGTGTTTTAAAAATAATAAGCCCTACCCTGGTAACAAGTTTGAGACCTATAATGAGATCATGCATTCATTTTCTTCTGCAAAGTAGCTTCCTCATATTGTTGATCAAACCTGTGATTAAAGCAACATTAGCTAACTACCAAGTGTTTGTGACACAAACGAAGGTCAGCAATTGAGTCGAGTTGCTTATGTTCTTGTAATCCTTTGGATTTGTTAAGTGCTTAATAACACCAAATGATACTTGTTTGATGAGTGCATGCACTCTTATTTATCTGATCCTATCTTGCATTAACTGATCACTAGATACCACTGCCTATTTATATAATGTCAGCACCTAGAGAGTTTCATTGTGCTATGGATTGTACAAAGAGAGTAAAAGACACCTTACCCTCTACCCCTAACTGCTGATAGTCTGAATAGACAAAATAGACAAAGGGTGGGGGAAATGAGCATAATGGAGGATATAACATTATATCTGTTGGCCACAATCTGCATTACCTTGAAAGGCTAGATCATCTCCTCCCATTATTTTGTAGTAATTCTTTATTTACTATTTGTGTTACGTTAGTGCCTATTGGCTCAATGAACAGCAGGGTCCCATGTGCTAGGTGTTGTGTATATAAAGAATCACAGGCTATGTCTGCACAGCAGCATTATTTCGGAATAACTGATGTTATTCTGAAATAATATAGTCCGGGTCTGCACAGCATGAAGTTATTTTGACATAATGTCAAAATAATTTCGAGCTCGAGGACTTCTTACTCTGACTCCCATAATCCTCATTGTATGAGGAGTAAGGGAAGCCAGAGGAAGAGTGCTCTTTCTCGGACTTCCTGGTGTGTAGACAGCGCCAAAAACTGTAATAAGCTATTTTGACTTAAGCTATGCAATTAACATAGCTCAAGTGGCATAGCTTATTTCAGCTTTAGCCCTGCTTTGTAGACATGCCCCTAGATATGCCCTGCCCCAGAGACTTTGCAATCTAAATAGAGAGGACAGGCCAAAGGGATGCAGAAACATAAGATGTGAAGTGACTTGACCAAAATCTCATAGCAGGCCAGTGGCAGAACTTGGGAACAGAACCAAACTCTCAGGTGAGTGTTCTCTTCATAAGACCATACTGCTTTTAATTGTTGCTGCTTTGCACTGGTACACACAATGTGCTGACCATATTTCTAAGGCTTTGTCTACATTACAGCTTTTTCTGGAAGAAGCAATGTAAATGAAATGCTGATTATCATTTTGATGTGCTTCATCTGCATAATCTATTCTGAACCAGTTTTGCACAAGGGGTTTTTGCTGAAAAACAAGCAGTGTGGCCATGGCCGCTTTGCACAAAAAAACCTTTTTTGTGCAAGATTCTTATGTCTCCCAGGTTTTTTGCACAAAATGGCCATGGCCACACTGCTTGTTTTTCAGCAAAAACCCCTTGCGCAAAAACGGCTCAGAATAGATTATGCAAATGAAGCACGACAAAATGCTAATCAGCGCTTCATTTGCATTGCCTCTTCTGGCAAAAGCCGTACTGTAGACATAGCCTAACATACTGGCCAGGTGCGTCTCTACCTTCAGAAGCTCACACTTGTCTAAGGGCAGATGGGCAGATGGAGATCTGAGAAGCTGAACAACAAAAAAAGAAATGACAAAAAGGATTTTCTATTCCACACAACAGAATTCACTCTAGCATACGAGGTTTGTAAGAGAGTCTTGAAAGAGAAGAGGGTAGGCTATTGAATTAAGGGAGGTCAAATCATGCAGGGTGGCTAGAAGCAAATCATCTAATACTTCGGCCAAAATCTCTTCATAGAGAGGTGAGCTGAGACACAACAGCAGAACTCCACTTACCCTCCACACCACAGCACCACTGTATGCAAACTCAACACCTTCTGGGTGCCCTGATTTATGGCTTCTCCAGATTAGGAGGGATTTCTCTATGCCTTTTGTAATGGCTTTTTGCAGAAAGTGACCCATTTCCCTTTGAGCTTTACTCATTGATGTCGATGGGATAGTAAATAAACAGTGAATAAAGAATTCAAGCTAAGGCCAATTTTGGCTACGGGAGGAGTGACAAAATGCAACTGAAAATCAATATTAATAGTGAGCTGAGTCTTCTGCTTTTCTACCAAACTTTGTCTGATTTTTGGGTCATCCCCTCAACTTCCAGCCCCTTTACTTGTTTCAAGCCATTGCTTATGTCCTGTCTGACACCTAAGCCAATTTTTGGTGCCAACATGAGACATCCTAAAGGGACCTGATTTTCTGAAAGTGCTTACACTAGCTCACTGAAAATGGGAACCTTTTAAGGTGTCTCAAGTCAGGCTTGTGAACTTCTGCGGCCCCAACTGGAAGCTTCACAGTGTGAGGTTTGTTGTCTTTGCTACTTGTCTGTAGAGTGCCTACCATCATGGGCTCTGATCCTAAGAGCTCCCACAATACAAATAATGATAATGATG